CCCAGGTTGGAGAATATATAAATGAGACCTTCTAGCTCTTCTTTCAATGCCCAATTCACAGGCGGCAGGTCAGGGCAAGCCACTGAAAAAATCTGAAATCTAAGAAGATCATTCAAAGTTTGTATGTATATATAATTAATTTGGTCAAACAAAACCACCGCCACATTCTCTTCACGCCCAGCCTCCTCACTAAGCCACGACTTAAAAACAGTTTAATAATTGTGATGGAATGCCGCCGACCAATGTTGCTTACACTAATATCCACACCGCAATAGAGAGTGTATGTGTAGAGTTCACATCTGCGCCCTACAAGGAAAAGCCTCACAATGCCCCACAGAACGTCTTCACCTTGTATTGGGATAACAAGTACGGAGATGATGAGACATCATTAGAAGATGGTCCCAATATAAGGTGAGGATGTTCTGTGGGGTATTGTGGGGCTCAGATGTATGTGTGATTTGTCAAATGTTCAAGAAGGTCTGCACCACCAACCATTCCATTGGTATTAATTCCTTGGGATGAGACTAGTGTACTGTATTAATTGCATTGTATAGGATGATCATTTACTAAAACACCTTTATTGTTATATCAATTTATCAAAACCTATCTATATATATAATTTGCATTTTACTAAAATATCTTCTATAATTTGTAATCAATTTACTTAATCTACCTTTCATTAGATCAAAGTGGCAAACGATAGTTTTGACCCCAACCTTTTATTTTTTATACAAAAACATTGGTATGTTGTTATTTTCAGATGATAAAACAAATAAATCTCGGTGAAATATCAATTAAGAAAATACATTACAAACTATATAGACAATGTTCCCATAAAACGAAAAAAAAAAAAAAACATAAGATAGGTTTTAAATAAATCTATAAAACTATAGAGAATGTCGTAGAAAATGACTTTTTTTTTAAATAGTGGAATTATTAAGAGGAGATATCTCAATAGGTCAACCCATTTTGTGGTTAGAATTGTTGGTTAAGTCAGCTGACATATGCGCTGTTTCTCTTTGATCCGCCTCATCAACTGCTGCTGCTAATCCAAACCCAACTATCTTTAGTTTGAAGGGTTGAAAGTCGAAAGAGGGGGATCGACGGGCGTAAGGAATGAGCTCAATTTGTTTACATCTTCACAATTTACTGCAAGTGGTTTCCCTTTTCTGGTCTACGAAAGGCTCCTTAGCTCAGCGACCAGTTCAAACCAGGTATGTGACAGTATTAGGATGGCCAATCATGGTAATTATATATATATATAAATATGACACCAGCTTTTGAATTTAAAGGGAAAGAGATGGTTTGGCTTATCTTGTGGCCTAAAGACGACAATTAATTCCTTTGAGGTCAAACCACTTGCTTCACCTTTTTTCCATTCTTCTTTACTCCTGCCAAGTGGTTTTGGATTTTTCTTATTATTAATTAAAAATACAAAATACAAAATTAAAAGTATGAGTGTACATATATATATATATGTATAATACATACGTGCTATCTGAGTATAAAAAAGGTGATGTCTCGTAGCAGTTATAAAATGCATATGGCCCACAATCACTCATTTTCTCACTTTACATTAATGGCTGACATGGGGCCATTTTCATTAATTCTACAGCCGGGCTATACCTCTATATATTGTGTTCAGCTACTCGAAATTTTTTATCTCCATACTTTATAATAATGTCTATTAAAATAACACATCTACATACTTTATAATAAGTTTTTTGTTTGTCCCCCTATCTCGTGATCCGCGGTGGTTTGACTTTGTACAATAATGCATTATTATTAGGTTATTAGGCTTAGACATGCCACGTTACTTTTATTTATATCATGTATATAAATATTTTAATTAGTATGACCGTCAAACAAATAAAAACACATTTCTCTGTTTGTTTGTAACGCGAATCTGAATCACACTTTAATTGGTTCAGTTTTGTATCTATTTGTTTCTAATTCTGATTAGCACTTTTATAGACATGAAATTTATACTTTTTGTCTCGTTTGCACTTATTAGCGGTATAAATTACAGATTTTGCATCTTTGGTTATGTTTGATTACAGTGTAAATTTATTTGTACTAGTACAAATGTATAGGAGTGTAAATGTAAAAATCGTTAATTTTTGTTTTAATTTTGTTTTGGATTTTACTTTATTCTGCTTCATATTTTAGTTTACTTCATTTATACCATAATCAAATAAAATATACTAAAATTTAAAACAAAAATAGGTCAGAATTTACACTCAAATCATTTGCACTGTTATATGGTTTTGCATCACTGCAAGTTTATTTACATTGCAACCAAACACAACCTTGTATTTGTAGAATGCAGAACCTTGTATTTTTATATTATTTTGTGTATTTTTGCACCGTACATATTTGTATCTGTACTTCTTACTGTATTCACAAACAAATAATCATCCTCTTGCTTCCACTCTCTTGCATATAATGTGAGACAACATAATTTTATTTCCTATTCTATATTTGTACTTCTTACAAGCAAATAAGACAAAGTCAAATTTAAAGCAAAAATAAACTATAATTTACACACCCTATTTTCACTTTCATGTATTTATACTAAGAGGGTCCAATCGAGTCAAATCAAGCAGAACTTTGGTATGTCTCGGCTCGAATAATTAATTGAGCTTACCTTGAGGTTCAAACTCATTTAGAATCTAACTTAAATCGGACTTAATTGAACTCAAGCCCAAACTATTTGATTAGAGCTAGATTCGATTGTAGTCTTAAAAATTTACACTAATGCAAATGAATTTGAATAACAATCAAATTGGACCAAAAAATTTGGTTAAAAAATTACTCATTTTGTTATATATATAAAAAACAAATCATACATAATCACAAATACCCCCAAGTGTAGAATAATTTTAATGTGGAATATAGCTATAGTGCCAAAAAGGTATGATAACTAAAACAATTTGATATTTTCATTTAAATTCACATGAAATTTTAATTAGTTAAAATGTTTTGGATACGGTGACCTTTTCGTATCATAAAATTGCCAACATTGTTTTTAGCAAATGCTTTTAGGGTAAATTTATGATGCTAGAACTATATGGTATTAGAAGAGCTGTGACCAATCAAAACCCCATAAATTTTGACAAATACCACCTGATTAGTTACCACTTAGTTAAAGCGTGGGGATAGTACAATGTGATTATCAATATCTCAGCTACTATGTCATTAACACAATAGAATTTTAGTGTTTTTTGGCTATTGCAACAAGTTAGGGATGATCATAGAAGGCCAGGCTGAGTTTTTACAGGGTGTCAATATCATTAACCCCACACCCTGCCTTGATATTATATGTCCTCTTTTCTTCCCAGGCTAAATTCACATCTACATCCCACAAAAGGGCGCACATTCTCACCTTGTATTGGGAACATCTCCTAGTAATGTCTCATCATCTCCTGTATTTGTTATCGGGAGATGTTCTCAATATAATGTGGAGATTTGTTGTGGGGTGTAAATGTGAATTCTCCCAGGCCGGGTTAGAGATCTGACCTGGCTCTTATGAATTAAAATTAAAATTTTAATTTAATTTTATATTTATAATTATAATTATATTCATTAACCCCACATTGCACATCTCACCGTACATTGTGAACACCTCCCGCATTTATCATGGAGAGAGATGTTCCCAATACACATGGATGGGAGGTGCTGTGTGGAGATGTAAGATGTTCTCAATGTATATCTGCAGTGACCGGTTGGGATGTTATTGGAAGCATTATATTGGTAGAAGATACCTGAACCCTGCATAGACATGCATAGATCACATCTGCGCCTCACATGGACATCTCTACGTGCATTGGGATCATCTCCCAATACAATATCACATCTCTACCCCACAAAGGAATTCACATCTATGCCCCACAATGTCCCACAGCGCATCCCCGCCATGTATTTGAAAATATCTCCTGATGATAGTACCAGACTCGATGATATCATCATCGGGAAATGTTCCTAATACAAGGCAAGGATGCGCTGTGGAACGTTGTAGGGCACTGATCTGAACTCCCCACAAGGGGCCGCCCCACAGCACATCCTCGCTGTGTATTGAAAACATTTCTCAATGATAACATCATTAATTCTAATTCTATTATGGAAAAATATTCTCAATACACGATAGGAATGTGCTGTGGAATGGCCCCTTGTGAGAAGGAGATGCGAACTCTCCCAATACACGGTGGGATATGATGTGGGGTGTTCGTGGGGCGCCCTAAGTGAAGCGCAGATATGAATAGTTATTAGTTCCATTGCTCATGTCATTTTAATATTTTATTGGAGAAATTCGAGACACAATTTCCAAAAAAATTCTCTACTCACTATTTTATTCACGCGTACGGTACGAACTGTTTACCACTACCATTAACTCACCCAACTACTCATTTATTTCATAATTCAGAAGCAGTAAATTCGAATTGGGATTTGCTTCTGGCTTTAAAAAAATTTCGGATTTGCTATTATAGATTAGTCCGCGTCTCACACCAACCTTAACACGTTGCAGCCGTACATTGAGAATATCTCCGTACGGAAATGTTTCAGATGTTTCGAACTCAGTATAAATGCTCTTCATCTAACACTAAAAGATAGGCACTTTGATGACACCGCCCATCAGCGAACGGGTGGGACCCCTTCAGGTTAACAATCGGACGGCATCCGATCCTTATTATTGGGCACAATAAATTCATCCATTCATTCCTACCGTCAGATTAATAGGAAAGAATTTACACAGTCTAAACGGGACCCACAAAATAAATTAGATCTCAATTATATTCATCCATCCATCCCCTTTCCCTTAATCCCCCAACCCCCGGTGGCAGTGGGATTTGGTCTCTACTACGACGAGTCAGAGAATCTACCAACTGAGCCACCATCAGTGGCCTAGTTTACTACTTTCCTTTCCTTGCTTATCAAATTTTGATTTTCCTTTTCAGTTAGCGAGTTTTATTTGGTAATAAATCAGGGGCATTCGATTGGTGGTTCTATTTTCGGTTGTGAATTACGATATGTTTTTCTGACTTCTGAGAAAAACCGAACTTGGTTTAAGATTTCTAGAATCGGAACTCAGCGAACTTCTACTTCATTCCGAGTATCAAAGACAAACTCAATGAATCCGTCAACCCCAATACCGCCTCAGTCGGTAACTCGGTAAGGACTAAGGACTGAAGTACTAACTATATAGAGCCGTGGAACAGGTGGTAGGACTAAGGAGCGATGGACTACAGACAAGACGAAGAACACAAGAAGCAGCGAAGACACTAGACAGCGTCTTCGAGAGGGAAGAAGAATAAACTTACTGGAGAAAACTCGAGGCCGTTGGGGAGCATTGGAAAGTTGCAGCAATGCCGGAGAGAGCTAGGAGAGGGGTTTTTAGGGGCTACGTCTGTGGGCAGGAGATAGAACAGATGTCTTTGGATGGAAGCCATTACAGCCTTACAAGCGAGATTCTACCTTCGCTTGGGGCGAGAAGCAATCGCAGAGTTAAGCTTCGTAGGTTCATCATTTCTCCTTACGATCGTCGTTACAGGTGATGATAATCCTCTTTTTGTTTCGTTCGAATATCTTCATTATTTTTCGTTCTTTCTTTCCAAGCTCTTGATCATGGGCTGCGTTCTTTTTTCTTTTTTTCTTTCCTTCATATCTTGTTTTCATTTTTCTTCGTTCTTTCGAAGTTATTGATCATGGGCTGCATATTTTTTTCTTTTCTTTCTTTTGTATCTTGTTTTTTCTATTATTTTTGTTTATTGGAAATAAGAAAAAAAATATTTTCCTTGCTGTGTTTTGCTGCTATGTCGATATTTTCCTTGTTGAGATAGTATGTTAATTTGTTTGGTATGGTGTTAACTTCTGAAAATACTTGAATTTCTTGCTGGTTAAATGCAGTACTTGATGATACTCACTTGGATTTTGATGGTTTGCTAGAGCAATATTTTCTTTCCATTCTTACTTTGGCGGTTGAGTTTGTGTTATATTTCAGAGTCTGAGAATGGACATAGATAGAAGATTGTAAAGTCTTCTATTGAGTGAAATTCACTCTGCAGCGGTTGTATTGGTTTAATTTTTGGCCTTTTGGAATCTTGTCATTCCTATCGTATGTATGTGTCTGGCTTTCTGTCTTTAAAAGTGTGGAGGTGATTATGCGACCATTTAGAGGTTTTTTGCTCTCATAATTAAACAGGTCTATGATTCTTAACTAACCCGTTAATCAACTGATTCTTGCAGAATTTGGGAATCTTTTCTGGTCATTCTTGTTCTCTATACTGCATGGGTATCTCCTTTCGAATTTGGATTCCTTGAGAGACCGAAGGGAGCACTAGCCATTACTGATAACGTGGTTAACGCATTCTTTGCCATAGATATCGTCCTCACATTTTTTATTGCCTACCTTGATAAAATTACTTATCTTCTCATTGACAACCCTAAGCAGATTGCTTGGAGGTACACTAGTACCTGGTTAGCCTTTGATGTCATATCCACAATCCCTTCTGAACTTGCTAGGAAGATGTTGCCCTCTTCTCTGCAGTCGTATGGATTCTTTAACATGCTTCGTCTCTGGCGTCTCCGAAGAGTGAGTTCTATGTTTGCCAGGTATGGTTGTATTCAAGCCTTTTAATTGTAGAGTATGATATGTGGATTTCTGGATTACAAATGTTGGTGGTGTTCTATTTTGAACAGATTGGAGAAGGACAGGCACTTCAATTACTTTTGGGTTAGATGTGCAAAGCTTATCTGTGTAAGTGTCTCAGAGGAGCCTTGGGTTATTATTGTTAAAAGGGTGACTCTTTATTTGACCTACCTTATTTTTCGGATCTTTCTATAGGTCACTCTATTTGCAGTTCATTGCTCTGGCTGTTTCTATTACCTTATTGCTGCACGGTACCATGACCCCAGCAAGACATGGATTGGAGCATCTATAGAGAACTTTCTTGAGACAAGCCTGTGGATTCGCTACGTGACTTCACTTTACTGGTCCATCACTACTCTCACAACTGTTGGTTATGGTGACCTGCATCCTGTGAACACAAGGGAAATGATCTTTGACATCTTCTATATGCTCTTCAACCTTGGATTGACAGCATATCTCATTGGAAATATGACCAATTTGGTTGTCCACGGGACTAGCCGAACTCGGAAATTTGTAAGTCACTTCTCAGCTCTTTGTCTATATCCACAATCAAGGATGGAGCCTTGAATGATGAAAATTGCAACATAGTTGGTTAATTACTTTTGCTGTTTGTAATTTTCATCTTGCTTAATAACTAGCTATTCATCATTGCTATGATAACATGGCAGGGAACTACGTAGTATGCTATTTCTATTGATTTTGTTTTATTTAATATTGAGGGATATTTGCCTATGAGCTGTGTTTTTCCTGTTAAGGAATTAGGTTCACTTGTGGTTTTGTTGTGTGTTTATCAATTTTCCCTACTTGGAAATACAGAGGGATACAATTCAGGCAGCCTCAAGTTTTGCTCAGAGGCACCAACTCCCAGTCCGCCTGCAAGACCAGATGCTTGCACACTTGTGTTTGAAGTTTAGAACAGACTCAGAAGGGCTGCAGCAGCAAGAGACTCTTGATTCACTCCCTAAAGCCATCCGATCAAGTATATCACATTTTCTCTTCTACTCTCTTGTTGATAAGGTGTACTTGTTTCGTGGGGTATCCAATGACCTGCTATTCCAACTGGTAATATACTAGTAGCACCCCAAAATTTAATGTACTATTTATTCTTTCTCCTTACCTTGACATTTGGTATTCTATAAATGTTGAAGGTCTCAGAAATGAAAGCTGAATATTTCCCTCCAAAAGAAGATGTGATCTTGCAGAATGAAGCACCTACAGACTTTTATGTATTGGTTACTGGTGCTGTGGTGAACACCTAACTTCCTTTAGTTTTTCACTTTTTTCCTCTATATTCTTTTCCTACTATTTGATTTATATATCCGGTAATAAAAGTTATGCGCTCAAGCATAAGCATTGATTAATGGACCATCATTCTTCTACTTCTCACTCAAGAGCTAGGAACTCTGACCTAGACCTAGTCCTTATAGGAAAAGAAAATCAATTAAAATAGCTTCTAATTGTGAAGTTAGCTTTGCAGGACCTTCTGGTGCTGAAGAATGGAACTGAACAGGCAAGTATAAGCATTAAAACCTTACTGTATAATATTTATTATAGGTGGACCTTTGAAAATGTTGCTAATGTAGATTTTCCAAAACACTGGGATCACTCTCTAAGACAGAGCAACGGATGATTACAGGTTGTTGGAGAGGCAAATGCTGGAGATATCTGTGGTGAGATTGGAGTACTCTGTTACAGGCCTCAGTTGTTCACTGTCCGCACCAAACGACTGAGTCAACTTCTGAGGTTGAACCGTACTGCTTTTTTGAATATTGTTCAGGCCAATGTTGGAGATGGCACTATAATCATGAATAATCTCCTGCAGGTTTGTAGAACTGATAATCAAAATGACATTTATGGGAACATTTTATTAGCTAAGCTATCCAAGGATAGGAATTTCTTTTAATTATTTGAAAATCCCTAAACAGTTTTACCTTTTATAGTGTTTGAGCTTCTTTTAGTTCATCCCTATTCCTTAACTAATCTGTGTATCCTCAATCAAAATTAGTAGGATTTGGAGGTATATATTCCATTTGTCATAGTAGGCTTATGATATTAAACCCCTATAAGTTGTATGGCCAGCTGTAACATGCTAAATTAATATTGGACTTCTTATCCCTTTCTATGGAGGCAGCATCTGAAAGAACTGAAGGACCCATTGATGCAAGGGATTTTAACAGAGACAGAGAACATGTTAGCTCGGGGTAGGATGGACCTTCCACTAACTCTGTGCTTTGCAACGCTTAGAGGAGATGATCTGTTGTTGCATCAGTTACTAAGAAGGGGTTTGGATCCAAATGAATCTGACAACAATGGGCGCAGTGCTCTGGTATGAAAATTTCCTCTTCTAATTTATTTTTTTAGAGACTTTGATTTCTTTTAAATAAGTCTCTTATCTGTGCTTTTTTTTTTAATCTTCTATGATATATAACCAGCACATAGCAGCATCCAGAGGAAGTGATAACTGTGTCCTTCTTCTACTTGACTATGGAGCAAACCCTAACAGCAGAGGTATCTAATAGCCAAATCCATTCATAGTCAATTGTTGTTAAAAATTTTATGCTCACTCTGTTTTCTCCTCTCCTTATGTTGTTTTGTTTTCCTATTCTAGGTTCTTTTATCTTTTATATTTCTAATTGTAGGTTGACTTGATTGCTCAGATTTTGAGATTATTACAGTACCTCATTAGTCATTGCATATCCTTTTTCCCCCAATGTTAAAAACAACCTCACATATGTTTCTTGTAATGCAAGTATATGTGATGTTTGTGAGCTAATCCAGAACCCAGTACCATCACTGAGTACTACCTATGAAATAAATATGCTCATATATACATGACTTGTCCAGTCAACTGTATATAAAAATGTCATGTTTCAGCTATAGAAAAAAGTCAATCATAAATGATGCTGGTCCCATCATTCCTGAAGATTGTGGATGAAGGATCATATATGAAAGTTTGCGTTTGTTAATTTCTCTGCATCTTTTTTATGGATGAAGGATCAAATGGATAAATAGATGCAGAAGTGAATAAGTGGCAGCATAACATGCTTGTTATTTGCTTGAGCAATGCATCTGCTATCAAAAGTATGTGAGAGCCTTGCTGATAAAGTAATAGGCTCCCTGACTAAATTCATAATAGTGCAAGATTTCATCGGAATGGTTTTATGTTTTCTTTATTTCTTCAAGTTGCTATATTTACTTTTCTCTTGTGGAAGCTGTTATGTTGTCCTTGAGAAAATAGATTAACAATATTTTGCTTGTGATGACTTTCCCTATAATTGCACAAGTTGCATTCTACTTATAAGGACATTATAATTAAAATACTGAACTGAAGGAATCCTGTCTCTGTTACTTGTCATCATGACTTCAGAAAGGTTTCTTTCTCTGATACAGACACGCTTATGTGCTGCCTTCTTTGGTATTACATGTGTCAATTATGTGGTACTTGTTCATTGAATGATCCCCTCATTGTATAAAATTTAGCCAAGTTCTTTTTATATAATAGTAATAATAATAATAATAATAATAATATACACAGATCTTATATCTTTTAATTTTACCCATTTACCCAGTGTGACATTGACATGTGCCCCCTGTACTTTTTTAAATGTCTCCATTGGTCAACTATGAAACCAACTCATCGAATCATCTTCCATTTATGACAAATGCAAGTATAAAAAAAGGCCATCAGCAATGATGGTCCTGATTACCCTGGGGCTTGGGAGTGGTGTAGTAGATACAGATCTAACCTTTGGCATTTTAGCATGAAGTGGCCACTGGCCAGTCTCAAATTTGAGCCCGATGTTCTCATACTCATAGCCCAAGGTATAATCATTGCACAAAAAATGGCCCTACCACTAACCAATACATCCTTTCTAATTTCAATAGAGTTATTTTTTTTTTTTTGACTTACGGTATTATAAGAAGAGCAAGGGAAGACCAAAGAAAATGTGGTCTGCAGTGGTAAAAAGTGATTTAAGGTCTTATGATTTGACAGTACATATGACTCTTGATAGAGCACAATGGTCCGACAGGATTTGTGTAGCTGACCTAAATAGTTTGGACTATGGTTGAATTGAGTTAAGCTTTCTTTTAGAAATATATTGGGGTATGTATTGTATGCAGATCTGGTAATCAAATTTACACATTCAAAACTTTGTTAGGTACTAATCATAAACATGAATGGTTTCTCACATGCAGATTCTGAAGGAAACGTTCCCTTGTGGGAAGCAATAATGGGGCGGCATGAACCAGTGATCAAACTTCTGAAAGACAATGGTGCAAACATTGTTTCAGGTGATGTGGGTCAGTTTGCATGCACTGCTGCTGAGCAAAATAAGTTGGACTTGCTCAAGGACATTGTACGCCATGGTGGAGACGTTACACTCTCCAGAAGCAATGGAACCACTGCACTTCATGTTGCAGTTTGTGAGGGGAATATTGAAGTAGTTGAGTTCCTTTTGGACCATGGAGCTGACATTGACAAGCCTGATTCCCATGGTTGGAGCCCCAGGGATCTGGCAGAGCAGCAGGGCCATGAAGAAATAAAAACCCTCTTCCAATCAAAGAAAGAGGCAAAGAATCAGTCAACCATTATTGTTTCTGAGCAGCAAAGGGTACGCTACCTTGGGAGGTTTACAAGTGAGCCATCACTCTATGCTTTGTATCCAGGTGGTGCTGCCATTCACCCAGAGATGCCTTGGAGGGACCGTCGAAGGCGGAGGACTGACAACTTCCACAACTCTCTATTTGGTATCATGTCAGCTGCCCAGACAGGTGATAAGGGTCTGGTTCCTCTAACAGCCCATGTTAATTGCAGCAAGAGTTGTGGCAATTACCCTGCCAGAGTTACAATTACTTGCCCAGAGAAAGGCTTGGTGACTGGAAAACTTCTACTCCTGCCGCAGTCCATTGAGGAATTACTGGCAATATGTTCTCAAAAATTTGGGTTCTCTCCATCCAAAGTCTTAAGCAAAGAGGGAGCCGAAATCGATGATATACAGCTGATTAGAGATGGTGATCATCTTATTATTGCTAGTGATTATGGGACGGAACGGGCTAAGGATTGAAGCTGGGAATTTTCCATGGATAGATTGCCCTTTGTTTTCTTCTTTTCCTCCTCTTGGATTGGTCCAATTGTGCGATTATATCCTTGTGGAGCCCATATGGATCGTCATTTTGACTTTTGGGGGCTTGTATGGACCAAAGGAGGATGGTGACCGGTGGTGGTTTGTACTTTGTAGAAAAGAGGGAAGAGAGACTGATGATAGTAAACAATGATGAAGCTTGCTTACAATAGTGGAGAAAATAAACAAACGAAATGGATAGATGAACCTCTTGGAGGGGAAAACAGCTTTTAAAGGGTTGAAGATCAAAGTGTAAATGCAAGTTATTTTCTTTTTTTATATTTAGTTGAAGAGAAGAAGCTTTGTAACCTTTAGAAGGGAATCTAATTGTAAAAAGAATTTTTGTTCTCATGGCTTCTCTTTCTTTTTTGGACTTCTGTCTAAAATATTTCCGCTCTAAATCATCATCATCATCAAATAATAATAATAGTATCATGCACCAAATTTCTTAAATTCTATAACAATAACAACTACCACAATAATAATAATAATAATAACTTTTTGCAAAAAATTGACCAAACTAATTGACAATTTCAATTATGTTTTAAAAATAATAGCAAATTGAGTGAGCAGGAGAAAACATGAAGTTTTTAGGACAAAATTATCCTTTTGTTAAAAACAGAATCCATCAAATCCAAAGAGTGTTCATGTTTCTTTAGTTTGACTCCATCCATTCAAACTGCGACTAGTTAGAAGCATCTTCAATTTTGAGTTCGACTCTGTCCATTCAAACTATGGCTGGCTGGAAGTATCAACTCCATCCATTCAAACGACTTCAGATTTGGAAGCATCGATTCCATTTGGTTAGGAAGCATTAACTTAATCAATTCAAACTATCTGGCTGGGAAGACTTCCATCTTCAAAGCAATATTCCTCCTACTTCGAGTTCCAGTGATTTGGGGTCCCATTCTCTAAGTTTGAGTTTGAAATTACTGTTTGTCTTTTTGCAAACTTCAGGGTTAGCAAGAAGGGGTTTCTTCTTCTAACCTCGATTTGGGGTCCCATTCCCTTTATTTTTTTTCTTGTTTCTTGTTTCGCCAACTCTTTTTAATTGGCCTAGGTAGATTTTACATATTTTGTTTTTTGTTTGTTGTGTCTTTGTATTTGTATTTCATTGTTTAAGTAATTGATGTGATTCATTGGTCAAATTCTGATTGTGTATTCTTTTGTTTAAGGAATGAAAGTGATCCCCTTCCTCTCAAAATGCAACTAAATGATGATTTAGTCGAGTATTTGCAAAATATAAGTAGAAGAAATAAGACTTAGAAGTCAATAGAAAGTTGGAAATGAATGGTTGTCAGAATTACATAAATGGCAACTATATGATGATTTGAATGTTGAAGAACCTACAATTTCTTTTGACCAAAATATCAGTATATAATAGCTCATAAAATGAGTTAATATACATAGGATTCTAGAACGTGAATTATATAAATGGCAACCATATGATGATTTGAATGCTAAATAAGTCCTAGTAGAGGCACTAGAGGTAGAGATTTATGGTTGTGCACAAACATGGCTTGTGTGCTTTGACATAGTGGAATGGCACCTACACAATAAATGCATGATGCAATTTGGGTTTCTAAGTCTATAAATATGAGAATCATATAGAACCAAGAGGTTCATTGAGTGCTAAATGATTTTGATGGTGTAACTATGATGCAAAGTGATAGATATTTGCAACTATAATTTATGTTTTAAAATGCCAAAAAAATTATGTTTCAAAATTGCGAACAACTCTGTGTAATGCCGATGGTATCCAGCTTTGTAAAAAACTATCCGGTCTGTGTAATGTCGGATGGTTTCCAACTCTGTAATAAACCATCCAGTCTTCTCCATGCCGCATGGTTTATACACTCGTGAGAATCACATACTACCGTATGGAATGTTGGTCTTTAGATGATTTTGATGGTGTAAATACTATTTTATCACCTGAGGGGGCTAAAATTTACAACTGCAATTGAAGATTCAAAACTGAAATAAACCATCCGATCTATGTAATGCCAGATGGTTTCCTACTCTACAAAACACTATACAATCTGTGTAATGCCGGATGGTTTCCAACTCTGTGAAACACTATCTGGTCTCTGTGTGATGTCGGATGGTTTCCAACTCTATAATAAACCATCCAGTCTATGTAATGCCGGATGGTTTCCAACATGGTTTTTGAATTGCCATTGACCCAAATGGTTGGACCGTTCAGCCTAGGAACCATCCAGGCAACTGGTTCCGTCTTACCCCAAACCCAGCCCTTGGCCAAAAACCATTGAATCGGTCAATGACCCATTGACCCTGGCGGTTGAACCGTCGACCCATTCAACGGTTTTGGCCATTTTTATTTTCAATTATTATTTTTTTATTTTTGTTGTTAGAATGGATCATCCCTTCAAATCAGACAGTCGAACCATCGACCCAAAAATCAGTGGCCATAATGGTTTCGTTTCTGGGTTGTTTTTTAAAACCATGGTTTCCAATTCTATAATAAACCATCCAGTCTTCCCCATGTCAGATGGTGCCTAAATACGTTAAACACCACCCAAGTTGCTCTATACCAGATAGTCCAAGCAAAAAATCTATTCTTGTTGTTGATCATATAAGTAGATATGTAGTTTGAATATTAATCACACAGATAAGCATTATGAGCTATATTCAACTGTCTTGCTATTTTAGCCAATCTAGCATTACCATTCACCACCTTCCTCTAGTACACTTGCTTTGAAGATGGAGTCAGTGCTTCCCAACCAGCCATAGTTTGAATCGATCAAGTTAATGCTTCCCAACCAGATGGAGTCGGTGCTTCCCAATCTGAAGTCGTTTGAGTGGCTGGAGTTGATGCCTCCAGCCAGTCGTAGTTTGAATTGATGGAATCGAATTCGAACTTGGAGATGTTTCCAACTAAATGGATGGAGTCGAATTCAAACTTAGAGAAGACAAACGGAATATGAATGCTTTTTGGATTATGTGGGTTCTATTTTTAACAAAAGGGTAATTTTGTCCTAAAAACTTCATGTTTTCTCTCGCTCACTCAATTTGCTATTATTTCTAAAATATAGATGAAATTGTCTTTGACCAAACTTGGTCAATTTTTTTTTGCAAAAAGTCCTAATAATAATAATAATAATAATAAGTTTTCAAAACATACACAACCAATAACATTGTTTAAGAATCAATGTTTTTTTCCGAGACAAGGTAACTCACGGGGCAAAGTGATGAAACTATTTTTTTTTCTTTACTCAAACGTTTTCTAATTTGGATTTAATCAACTAATATTATAAACAAAAATAGAGTTGAACTTAATGATAGGAAGTGGACTAGAGGTTTGGTGATAATCTATTAATTCTTGTTTGTAACGATATAATAAGTTAATATTCGTGGGTGTTAACCGTGAGAACCCCTAATTAACAATTGTAAATTATGGAAGGCCGTTTAGCTAAATTTCATTGATAGTTTATCTATAAAAAAAGAAAAGAAAAAGAAAGAGATTCCATCAGTGTTTCAGAACAAGAAAAAAAGAAAAAAAATCAGGATTAACAAGAGAAATGTCTAGGTTTATATGGATCCAACACGAGTAAATTTAGTAAATCAACAAGACCTCCCCAAGGTTTTTTGACTTATTGTAAAACAACAAGAGTCTAAGATCTTTCCTTTATTAATGGCAATGGAGCAGGTTCGGGGCAGGGATCATACTTTTTGTCCCCAATCCCAAGTTTTAAATTAATCCTCGTCTCTAACTCGAATTGCCATTGGGGAAAAAATTAACCTCCATTCCTGGTTCCTAATTAATGAAGACGGATTCTCTATTAGGGACCCAAATTTTTAATTAAAAGTTTGTTTATGAAAAAATATTTATTTAAAATGAAAAAATTAAAATGTAAATGATATTTTTTTGATATATGTAGGGTTGGGGGGTCGGGTCAAGGACTTCACTCCTCTTAGTGCAGAGCACAAGTATATTGGTGGAGGGGTCCTTAGCCCCCTCAAACTTTTTGTCAAGGCTCTGCCACTACTCTCCATCCCTGTCCCTGATCGAATATCCCCATCCCCACAAAGATGGTCTCTATCCCTGTCCCCGCGGGGTCAGAGAGGTTAGGCACTCAACAGGGATGGAGAAAATTGCCATCCCTACATTCCTTTTGGTTGTACACTTTTACATATTAACTTTAGATATCCTTCATGTCATGATGGCAGTTTTACTAATAATGCTCAAAGGGCTTATGCTTTTGTATGTCTGACTAAGAATGGGCTTTTTGTGGCAGGAGGTTTAGATGGTAGAGTCGGCTCTTCAGATGGAGCTATGTGCGATTGAAGCGGCTATTTCTTTTGTTGTGGAAAGATGTTAGGGGTTATAGCAGATAATGGCAACTTTTGGGCCCTAATATCAATAAAAGTAATACTTTTAAAAAAGATTCAAAAATATGTTAACTTTTTAAAAATAATATCAATTAAGGGTAAAAACACTGTTCATCTTCTTCCTCTTGCAATCCATTCATTAGCGCTGCCGCCTTTGGCAACGTTGCCGGAGGTGGGCGGAGGTAGAGGCAGCGGCGGCGGCGCTGGTGGGTGGAGGTGGCGGCATTGGGCAGAGGAATGACCGCCACCGCTGCCTCTGCCTCTGCCCACCTCTAGCAACATTGCCGGAGGTGGAGGTGGAGGTGGGCGGAGATAGACGGCGGTACTGATGAATCGATTGCAAGAAGAAGAAGATGAACAGTATTTTTGCCCTTAATTAATATTATTTTAAAAAAATTAACTTTTTTTTTTAATTTTTTAAAAATATTACTTTTATTGATATTAGGACCTTAAAGTTGTCCTTATCTGTTATATTTCCATAAAAAATTTCTACTTTTTCTGATAACATTAACTTGTTAGTTAAATTCTGGGTTTGTAAATATTGGCCCGCAACTGTGGCATGTGGTGGACCAAATCTTATTTTGTTCTAGCACTTTGGAAGTTTATTTTCAGTATACCCTAAGAAGTTAATTACAAGAAGGGCCCAAATGTTGAATGGGGAGGTGGCACATTTTGATATTCCTTCCCTTTTTATGAACTCTGTATATAAGAATTTTTGTTCTTGTAATGGTAATTAGTAGTAGTTTTGATTGGATAGATCCTTTTTTTTTTAAATAGATTGGATAGATTCAAGTATAAATGTTTGTAACATCTTCACATCGGGTTATGTATTTACTTTGGAGGAAATACCTTTTTGAGGTTCTTCTTGGGAGTGTTTACACGTAATAACACTTTCTAATGTCTCTTGTGAAGCACGTAGTGGGGCTAATGTGATTCAATCATACTATTCATATTAAATACAATATCCGATGCATCAGAATATAAAATTATGTTTGAATCTCCTGTATATGTAGCTTCCTGTAAGAGCTCTCTGATTAATTCTCACCATTCAGCTTCTCCTTCTAAATCGGATCATAATGTAATTTGATTTATTATATAATGCAAAATTTGAAGTTGCTTTTCCATTCACTGGATCATAAGCTCCATCAATATAACAAGTATTAAGGGTCCATTGAACTTGCAGTTGGAATCGGAATTAAAATTTTTCAAATAAAGAAATGTTATTTCAGCAGAAATGGAAATAGGATTCGGATTCCGTCCGACCAAATAATTAGAATCGAAATAACCCACTCTAATTCCAATTCTAGACTCCTATTCTTCCAAACTAAACGGGACTTAATACTATTTGAACATGAAATGTCCTGTCGCATGCATTTTTAAGTGAATATTGCATTAAGACTTCTGAATGAAAGGTTACATATTCCCTTAGCTTGCATGTTGTAGCAATTGAAAAGGATTCAGTAATGGATATTATCATCATGTATCTTACTATTCCTCTTTATCCCAGATTTTTTTAACACACACAAAGCTGCTTCATTAATAAGGAAAACGGGGGTTCTGAATACACATATTCCTCCTCCCTACTCTAATATATCGGCATCCGAAAAACAACAATGGATCAGTGTTTCCTCAATCCTCACTTGGGTTACACAAATAACACATTTTTTTCCCATCTTCCGGTGCAAAGGATGATGGTTCTTTTTTCGTCAAATACAAAAACAATTAAAATAGTGTAATATAACGCAATTACTTAAAAAAAAAATAACGCCAAAATTTCATATATAATACAATTACTCATCATAACAAGAATTAAACAAGGGCCAGTGCTTCATTCCAATACCAAATGCAAGATATCTGAATCTAAACTCCTTCACAAGCCCAATCACGTCCTCTCTTTAAATTTGGACTTATACCTAAAGAAAAACAAAAAAAAGAACAGCAGCAGCAACCTATTCCCATTTGCTGCTTCCTTCCCTCTCTTCTGTATCAATAGAAGATGAAGTTATTCCAACTTTATGATGGGATATCATTTCCGTCCTTGCCATCTTCATCATTGATCACTATCACTATCACTACTTTCACTTTCATCATCGGCCACTTTCAGGGTTAATCTGCCATAACACAAGAAAGGAATTATGAATGCAAAAAACATGACATGTATGCATAAAGTATAAACCACCCCTTGGCCCTTACGACAAGAAGGAAACTAAGGTCCTGTTTGGCGGTGTTTCATATTTTGTATTTTCAACAGCGTCAAAATATAAAGTACGTGATATTCTTTTGGTTTTGTACTTTTACTTTAAAAATCTTTTGAATAAAAATTTTTCAAAACAAAAATAAATAATAGTGTTTGGATACAATAAAATGTTTTACATGTTACGTGGCATAATGTAGCATTTGAATAATATGGAGATGACACATGGCATTTGAATATGAGTCATTGACATGTAAATGCCACATGGTGACATATATGGCTGCCATATGGTATTTGAAGGTAAGTCAATGGTATTAAGTGCCACGTGGCATGTAAGTGTTATTAATTATGTTCAAATGCTATATAGTAGCATATATATGCTATGTAATATCATATATATGAATTCCACGTGACAAATGAATGTTGGATCAATAACATGTGAATGCCACGTGCAATATAGATGAATGTCATGTGGCACTTGAAGGTAAATCAACGATACCACACATGTTATTTATTATGTTCAGATGCTATATGGTGGCATATATGTTATATGCCATGTGACATCATATATGAATGTCATATGGCATTTGAATGTTGAATCAAACACAAATATGATACTCTTTCCATATATAAATGCCATGTGATATCATTTGGTACTCTTTCCAAACTATCTAACGCTTAATTTGGAAGGAGTATAAATACAAATATGTACGGTGCAAATACATACAACATAATACAAATACAAGGTTTGCATATATACAAATGCAAATGCAAATATATACAATATAAATACATACAAAATAATACAAAATATAAGATTTTTCACTCTAGGTATTTGCATTTGTACTCCTTCCAAACTAAGCCTAAGTAAAAAAACACCCCACACAAACGCATTCCATTACGTCAGAGATTTCTTTGAGCTCAGATATGCTTCTTTGCGACCCCCCTTTTGAAATACGGATACGTCAGAGATGGAAACAAATTCAAAGAATCGCGTGGTCTGTTTTTTCATTTCCATCGCCGGCGTGTTCGTTGATCATTGGAGGGTCGCAGCAGATTATTTGAAGCAATGGATTGTTTAGTAATGATATCACCTGGTTTCTTTGAAGCTTTTAGTTCTAAGTTTCAGTTCCCCTCTACTGGTGGTGAGTTCATCCAGTATCTCTGCATCGCATACTTCTCGTTCACTGTCCACGCATAAAGATCCCTCCATTTCCTACACAGATGTGGCAGATTGAGTGAGAAAGTAAGTTGGATTTGAAATCCAGGCTGCCTGCATAAAGGAAAAAGAAAAGAAGAATCGACCTTGATTGAGAGGGTGCCGCGACCTCGGGAAGGAGTACCATCAACTTCCTCGTACTCAGCCGCATCTAATTCCCACAGGTGATCTGACTGAAACATCTTGGGAAGGATGTGCTCTCTTATGCTTATGAGCAGAAAGAATGGCAATGGGAACAGTATTCCAGCAATCGGTATCCATGTCAACCCGAAGCATATCAGAAGATATACAAACTGGAAGATTGTAAATTTCGCAATGATCTTGAACGGTACCGACTCCACGAAGGAAGCATGGTCCCTTTCCAGAACCCTGCATCACAAGTTCAAATGGCCAGAGAGGCAAGTCGTCGATATGATATCAGGTTACTAGTACAGAAATACCACTACTCTCGTTAGTTAATAGAACTTGAGATGGAGGGTTGTACACACTTGAATCGCCGGCGAGGAGTAACGAAGAGCAGTAATATCCGTTCCCAGAACTGGTTCCCTGGGAGGCTGTCAATAGCCATGTAGGCAAAGTATCCCCAAAGAACTGATGTGGGTATGGCTCTGATTATGGGCATCGCAAATACAGATACCCCTACGAGGACGGATTGTAAAAGATTGCTCACTCTCTGCTCATTAACTCGAACAGGCAAGTAGGCCTCAATATGCTTCTCGGGATCAAATTTATCCTTGTCATCTCCCCCAGTGCTTTGGCTTCTCATCACTGCCTCCTTCAAGCCCTTCAGCTCCTTTTTCACTGATGCAGTCTACATGATATGACACATGCAACAGTTTAAGGGAAAGCAGGTAAAGTTTTTAGGCCCTTTCACAGGAAGTAACACCGCTTGATAAGCAACAACTTGTTAAAAGAAAGGCAGAGAGAGAGAGAGAGAGATCAGAACTTGTCAAGCTAAGCAATTTGCATATAAAAACATATGCGTTAGAAAACTTACTTCAGGAGGTCTGTCCATTTGTATGAACACTTCTTGCATTCTCCCATAAATCTCTGAGGTGCTAGCTTGGTGTTTCATGCACTCTTTGACATTCTCCACCATCTTCTTTCGAATCATCTGCATAACACAGATCAGATTATATGAGCATCTAGAGGCAAAGCAACTATACTTCATGATAATGCAATACAAGTGTGGGAAACCCTCAACCAACCTGCCTCTTGAGAACAGCTAGGCTCTTGGTGTGCATGGGGGATTGTGGAAGGACTCCATTTGAAGGGGGTAATCCAATCAATCCACACAATAGAACCTGAATCCAGAGAAGCGCATAAGATTAACACAGTCTAGAGGTAATGCAGATGAACAAATAAGATTTAAAAAAATCAGCTATTACCATGAACCCAAGCAATAAAAGGTCATAATGATAAGCGGAAGGATTCTTGAGATTGAACTCTTTTTGCTGCGCCATCTGTGCCGCAACACTATGGTCAAAAAAGTATAGACCTGCTATCATCACAGCCGGTATAATTGCAGCAAAAATATACACCGGTGGGACCTTCCACATATCCTGCATTTTGGGTGCAAGAAACATATCATTCAGTGATAGTAAGCAAGAAACAATGTGCCAATAGGCGAATTGAATTGGACCAGTCCCGATTTAATGGGACAAAGTATTTATTGGATTGGATTGGACGTGATTTGGATTGGACCTGGTCCATCTGTAAAGGACTTATATTGGACCGGGTTGGGTTGGTCGCATATCCGGTCCAATGGGTTGGGTTGGTCCCAAGGGAGGGTGGACAAGACGCAAGACGGTTTACCTCCATTACTGTCCAATGGTATAATGACGCTGGTTCCCAGGGAAGAGGAGCAAAGAGCCTCCTGGGAACTCCAGAGGGGACTCTGCTTGGAACGCTGAATGACAATGCTGTCCATATCAAGACCATCAAAGGAACCCCATAATCCGCAATGAAGCTTCTAAAAGGCCCTACATTCAGTGAACGTTCAGGTTGGTACACATGCAGAGTTTCTTACTGGAAAAAGAAACAAGTTAGAGCACACATGGTCATGAGTGTTCGTTCAGGAACCTGTTCCATATAGCCATGCTCTTGCCCTTCTGCTTTTTAAAGCAGTGAAGAGTACGCCAAAGGAGAACACGATCCCCAGCAACCCATTTGTATACCGCCACTGGAAATGATATTTTTCTTCGGTAGGGTCTTCATCTTTTGGAATTTGGAATTCACTCACCAACCCCTGTCATCCAAGCATTAGCCACTGTCAGGTGTCAACGACAGCTTTTCCTCAGAAGCTGTACTAAATACATCATACATGGGTGTCTTTAGAGATCACCCAGATACCTTGATGGCCTCTTGAAAGAAAAGAACAGTTATTAACATCCCAAAAAGTTCCCCTGCAACCCTTGTAAATCTGGTGATGATCGCGCAAGCATTGAATACGGCAAGAAGAAACAACAACAGCGCTGTCCAGATGCAAACCCTGCAAAGAAGAACATCTTAGTAAATTAAGTCAAAATGTAACATAAGACGCAGGGAAAGCCGGAGATAAAGCTGCTTTCCATTACCATCCAGCCCAGGCCAAGTAAAGCTCCTTTCCCAAATCCGACCTTCCTTTACTGAAACTGTACAGATAAGTGTACATTATAACAGTGGGTTCTGCGACTCCTAGTATTAGCAGAGGCTGACCACCGAATACCGCGTGTATGATACCACAAATAGCTGTAGAAGCTAATGTTTCCACTGTGCTCAAACTTCCATCTACAACAACAAACATGAGCAGTCAGACTCATAGATGGAAATTTATAAACAATAGCAGCAACCTATTATCTTTAACTTGTAGTTGGCAGAAATCTCCATTATTAAATTGTAGAACCTATCAGAAAAACGAAAACTTGATTTTAGTGCTGACCTGTTTCTCTGCTCATTTGCTCCCCAAAGGCAATAACTGGAAGAGCCGAAGCAAAGAAAATATAGGTAGTTGGAGCCAATATCCTGAAAACAGATGAGTACCAGATTGAATGAACACGTTTTGCAGAGCAAAATGAGGAGATATCAGAGCCACCACTCTGTTCTAAGGGGGCGTTTTTTTTTGGGGATTTTGAGATGGGAAAGTTAGTCAATGGGGATCAAATTTATGTGGGCAGAGAGAGAGTTTATTTTCCTCCCTATCACTTATCCTCGTAACTGATACCTATCTCCACATGGGGAAGTTACTAACACTAATGGAAAAAAAATACCCATTTTAATAATGAATTTTTATGGATAAAATGATAATTGCATTATTTACTTGGGAAATAAAAAAATATGGGTAACTGGATAAGTAAATGAAAAAGCGAACAGGACCTAAAGCATACAAATCATATATACCTGATGCCAGAAGAAAACCCATTAGTCCAATCTTGCTTATAGCATGGTGCCCTTCCTTTGACATCTTTAATAATCCCTTTGAGTGGAGTTTTGAATTCATTCATTGCTGAGAGCATGCAAATACAAAAATGAGAGAGAGAGAGAGAGAGAGAGAGGTTTAAATAACGTATACAAGGGAGAAAATACACAAAGCTGTCTCTTGGATCCCTTAAAATTCGAAGAAGAAAATGTTCAGATTCAATGAATTCAGAATCTATTTCAGTTATTAAACAGACAAATGGTTACCCACATTATGCTGAAGAAGAATCTATCAATCCTTGGAATAGAAGTGGTTGAAAAGAAAAACAAAAGGAAAGAACAGAGCATTAGTGAAACACTCTGTTTGACATTCAAAAGGATAGAAGTATACGAACAAGAAATTCCTTGAAATCTATAAATGAAACGACAAAAAGGCACCGTCGAAAGATGTCACAGCATTCATACGAGAATTTTTAAGAGTAATACGACGTAGGACGAACCCGGAGTTTCTTAGAAGAAGAAGAAAGAAGGAAAAGGTCACCCGAAAGGTTTCATGCGCAAAAGGTAGGCTTTTATCCAGGCCTAGTGTATCAACAGACTGTTTTCTTCCAAAAAATCTGTTACTCCAAGTGAAAATGCACACGAATAAGAATGCTTCTTAACGATAAACGAAGCAAAAAGGAAAAGAAACTTTTTATTCATCAACCCGAGAACAGAACAAACAAATAAAGAATATAACGGCAAATCTGTTCTCCGAATCGATGACACTGTAAAAGAATCCATCTTCGGTGAACAAAACACGATTACAAACATCCATGTACCAAGAAACTCGACTCCACATCCGTTGATCCAGAATACAAAACCAACTAAGCTAAGCCCAAAAAAAAAAACAAAATCCCTTTGAGGAAAAAATAAATACGACGTGATAAAAGAGGCCAAGAAAAACCTACCGAGACCTCTGATAGCAGGCTCGCCGTGTCTGTGAGCAAGAAAGGAGAAGCAAATGTCCTCTGGTTCTGGCTAGGCGACGCTCATGATAAGAGAAAGAAAAGGAAAAGAAAACCAGCCGGAGAAATTTTCAGGTTCCCTGAAACGAAAACGTTAGGAGAAGCTAAAAGTCGCCGGAAATGTGAGATGTTAAGCGGGAAAGAGTTTGCCTGGAAGAGAAAGAAAAGAGCTTCGTGTTGGTTATATTGTTCAGGTGGGTTGGCTGTTGAAGCGGGAGAGAGATGAAAGCCTCTCCAAGTCTCTACTTTGAAAAACCGCGCGACCCGGTGCTGGTCCCCATTGCGCTTACACACTTTCAAGAAATCAGTCAGAAACTATTACCACGTGGCAATTTTTTATAGGATCCAATAATAAGCGGTTCCGCCTATCCTGACGGGAGGTTTTTCGCCGTTACGACGACTTGACAAGAGGTTAGCTACTAGCCATTAGCCAGCGAATCGCTAGTGTGTTTGTCCCAACTGCTAATAGGTTGTACTTGTTCATTAAAGACTAATCATGATTACGTGTCGGTAATATACAACGAAATTTGGTGTGCATCGCATCGTTATTTAGCATCCAAAATCGGGTTTGGTTATCATATCGGACGGTGAACAGCAAGTTGTCATGATTCAACCGAAAAAGGGGATGGAGAATACATCACATAATATTTAGTTATAAGAGAGAATATGTCAGGGATGAAATTGGGGTTGGGCTCAAGTTAAAATTTTACACTTTCAGCCCTTCAGGTTTATGCTTTTTTAAGCATCTGCTGTACACTTTTGGATTCTCAAAATATCTGTTAATGTGGTTTAGTTAATAATTTTAAAATAATAATAATAATAATAATTTAACCTACTATTAATTAAAAGTGTTAATAAGAGTATAGAATTTTGTTTGATTAAAATATCATATTTTTTGAATTTGGTTGCTCTCTAATTGTAAGGACAGAAATATAATTTGAATAACCATTTTTATCATTTAAATACCCCTCATATGTTAACATTCACTAGATCCTATTCTGACTACTCTCTAATTGTGAGGGCATGAAATGTAATTTGAATTACTACATTTTTTCTTATTCAACTCCCTCTAATAAATTCTTATATTTAGGGTATTAATTCTACTAATTTCATTAAATCCTATATTAATTAGTCATATTAAAGAAAAATAAGTGTGACAAAGAATAATTATTTTTATTGATGATAGAAATAAAATACAAATTTAAAACCAACCTAAAATGGAATTTAAAAAGATGAAAATACACAAAAGTATAAAATATCTAAAATAATTGTATAAAAAATTTTGGATATATCTCTAATATTGTATATTCATCGTATTAAACAAAAATAAGTGTGACGAATAAGAATAATGTTTATAGATATAAAAATATAAAAAAATTGTAGAAAATTTTAGAAACACAGTATTTACTATCATAATCATATTCATCACCAAAAACTGCAACATGCAAAGCACACACACTTACTAATAGTAGTAATAATGATGATGATGATGAAATGAATCGTTGATTCCTTCCCTCTCAAGTGGTGCTACAGAGAATCACTTGGTATATATACCTAGCGCGGGATGAAATTCTTGAAATTACAGGGTTTTTATGATAAGGTCAGCGGGCCTCGTGCATCATATTCTGTTCCCACCCCTTCATTCTCCTCTAATGTGTATTATGTTTATCTTAAAAAAAAAAAGGAATGCATGCTCGGGTACTATGCAATGCATTTGGGGTATGAATTATGAAATGTATTCTCTAGGCAGCACTAACGGATTCATCGGATTCATTTCTATGAACAAGAGGAAAAATTAGAAGATATGGCCCTCTATGTAGTGTTTTGAGCATAATTCGGATTAACTGAATAGATGGCCGTTCAGTTGGCTGTGAAACCAATGATAATATTCCATACTAGTTATAAATTCATAAACACAATGTGGGAAGTGTGGGTCCCATGTATTTTATTACTAGTATGGAAAATTATCATTGATTCCACAGCCCACTGAACAGCCATCGTGCTTAACTAATCCTTCCTCTCATTGATGCATTTTTTATTTTTTATTTTTTGAAGGGGAAAAGCTATTATACAAGAAAGACATGATGTCAGAATAGCTTTGATCAATTGTAAAAAACAAAAGAAAAACTTTGACCAATCAAAGCACTCTTGAATTTTGATTAATACCACCTCATTGGTCCACCATTTATACCTGGCTGTAAACCAATATCATAGTTGAATCCTTTCTGAAGAAAACAAACTTACATCACATGTTTCAACTTATCGCCCTATGCATCTATGAGAAAAAAAAGTTGTTTTCTGCAGCTGACGAGCATGTTGTAAATCCACCATGACCCAACCCTAGAAGCTTACAAAAATAAATAAGTAAATAAATAACCAGGTTTAAAGTTGTGTTAGGGTGGATGGGTCAGATTTAATAGCATTGGAACAATTTGTAAAACTAGCTTTGGCTGAGTATAATTGTGGGTAGGGATGGCAATTTCTACCCTACCCAGAGGGTACCTATTCCTACCTGCCTTGTCGGGGCAGATTTCTTTGCTTGAAAGACAATTTTTGGGGTGGAGATGGATTTTGGGATTCTACAACTCATACGGATACGGGTAAGGTACAGTATTAGGCTAAATCAAACCCTCCTCGACCCACATATTGTTGAAAAACATATGAGCTTTATGTATTAGTTGTTGAAATTAATAACATTTTGAATTTTATGTGAATGATAGTTGATAGTTTGTGTTTTTTACATCTCTTAATCAAACAATTGGAAATTTTATTATTTGTTTATGTTATTTTACTTATTTATTGCTTATATAACAAAAAATAATAGGAAAATAGATGCGGGTTCTAAACCAAACCCACCCTACCCTTAAACACGGGGAAAGAAAGGATAATGTTGGAGAAGATTTTATATTTTCATGTGCGAAGAGGATTTAAATTCTTAAAATCCAATTTGCTATAGATTTTAAGGAAGATACGGGTTGGGGGNGGGGGGGCTAGGGATGCAGTTAGGGTCTTGAATTTACAAAGCCCTCCCCAAACCCACCCTTCTTACCATCCCTAATTGTGGGATGGTTGGGTAGCCCCAATCTATTTAATTGGATCAGGTTTGGGATGGAATGACTTCAAATCAGGGTTTAGGATGACTAAATTCCATACAGACCCGATTGGTTGTTTTACCCAAAAAAACGATGAACAGCAACTCTAATTGGGAAATAAACTCAATAACCATGTGATAAGTTTTAGGCTTCTAGCCCAATAGCTTTCTTGATATGTCTTAAAAAAATTCTTACCCAAAAAGTTTTAGGATTCTCGGGATTTAATGTTCTTGTTAGTAGGAGATTTTACCATTTGCCCTTAAATCATGCATATGACATGCTTGGCATTTAGCACCACCCTACTCATTTTTTCAAGATGAAGCATTTTAGTTAGGGGTGCAACTTGTATCAGGTTAGGTTGGGAATTTGTTGAAATTTTCAATGGGTCCAAACTCTTATCCGCGCATCATTAGTTGAAATTTTTCAAACCGGACAACCCAATTAGTAGTCCTAATTTCAGCTGTGTATGTGCCAGTGAAAGAGGTGTTTTGGCCAACAGTACTAACCCATCCGGGGCTGTTTTAATTCTATCCCGGCTAAGTATGTATTGCATTGGGTCAATTCATGGTTTTTAAAGCCAACCCGGTGATCGAACCGGTCAGGGGTTCGGTTACTGGGTCAAACAGTTTGATCATTCGAATTGAATGTTTGGACCGTTTTGACAAAAATTAAAAAAATTCAAAAGAATAAAAAATGGTCAAAACCATTCGAACGGTTCGAACAGTTAACCACAGTTCAGTGGTTTATTGACCAAAATCAATGGTTGTGGGGGAAAATCTGGATTTTGGGGAAAACGGACCAGTTCCCGGTTTTTTTAGCTTGACCGTCCAGTTTTGAAAACCATGGGTCATTTAGTAAAATACCTCCTGTAGTTTTATGAATTTACTAAAATACCTTCATTTTGAGGCAAGGTAGGTTGCGTTCTCTCTGCATTGATTTTTTTTTTCTTTTTACTTTCAATGGTGTTTAAGACTCCGAGTCTCCTGCCCACGTTTACCCACAATATATTACCCCCGTGAATTGAGAACATCTCCCCCTACGTAATATTATGCAGGAGGATGAGATGCTCTTCATGTATGGCTACGATGTTATATGGGTAGACGTAAGTAGAATTTGTGTGAACAGAAGATCCAGACTTGTTTAAGATGGCTACCCCTCCACCTGTAATAGATAAACTTGTAAAACTATTCTGGTTTGGTCCGATATGAAATGAATTTATAATCATGGAAACAACTCGATCATTAGATTATAGTAAGGTTCTTTTAACCAAGGAATAGACCATAAATTAAAAATGAAAATGAATAGAACATGGGAATGGGAGGCAATTTTTTTATGAGGTGATGGGCTTGAAAATTACATTGGAACAACTTATATAGAAAATGCCCTTCAAGCATGGCTGTGATGTTGTGCGCACTGAGATGAGTGCTCAACAGATAAAAGTCCTGCTGAGATGGATGTGCTGCGGTGGACAAGTTGTGCTGGACGAGATGAGCAGGACTGCAGGACAAAGTGATGGAGATTCGTCGGGGTGGGGGGTGGGGGCGTAGGGGTGCCGCTGTTCTCCTCGCTCCCCGCCGAGGGAGGCTATAACCAGCTTGTCGCCTACCAGTCTACCACGTGTCATCTCTTGGTTTGAGGTTTTTATTGTGGGAAAAACTTTAGCTGTTGGGGTCAATAGTATATGCTGTTGAGAGAATTTCTGGGAATGTTATGTCATCATGAAAATGGATAAATTAGTAATTATATCTTAATTTATTTTGACTAAAAGTAAAACATGATCATCAATAAGTGAACTTTCTAGAACATGCCCAACCCAGAAATTATCTCAACAGCCTATTCTGTTGGGCCCCAACAGCCAAAATTAACCCTCTATTGTATGCACAACTGTCGGTTCGATGTGTGATGGTGCTCTACGTCATCGACTCAGCCAAGGTCGTAGCCAACTCTTCAGCCACATCAGTGCCCACATGGCTATCAGACTAGGCCGGGGTATGGCCCCATCAGGTTGCAATTTGATATAAACATCTATGCCAAGGCCAATGAAACTTGTTAAGAGTTATAACAAAAGACTTTTTTTTTTTTCTT